ATTTAACGAAATATATTATATTAATTATTATATATATAAACGTATTATAATGACATCATCAGGTGATGAGTGTACAATCCTAAATGATCAGTTAAATTTGTATACCCACCACTTGATACTACTGTGTGGCTAAACAATATATTTGTAAATACAATATACTTTCGTGAAACTTTATGTGTTTTATTTTAATAATTAATTCCGAATTAATTTGCCTAACAATAAGGCATAAGAAATTAATCAGACGACAAATCAATCAAGAAATTTATCATTAAAACGTATTTTTTGCACTCATGTAACTAAAATATTTTACAGTATGAGGCTTGGTGATGTAAGAGCAAGCTACGCGAAGTATAGTACTATAGTACAGTATAGCGCGAGAAACAGCGTTTTTGTTTATTCTTTAGTTTTTTTTTGCCTAAATTTGCCAGAGATTCTTATGCGAAGAAAGAATGATATTTAAAAGTAAAATCCTGTTTTCTCTAAACTGCCTCTAAATGCCCTAAGAAAAATTCCTAAATTTATCGTGACTTTATCTTTTAATTAATTACGTATCCAAGTTTTTAAAACCTTGAAGTTTTTATATTCAACTTTACCTTCACACTTAATCACTTGTGTATAACACAAATTAGCCAAAGGATGCACTAAGTACCTCATAAAGTAACTTGCTAAATGTGTTCTAGAAAATTGTATTAACGTAGAACTTACCAGAGCTCATAAAATAAGGAATCCTAAACCTCCCTGATAAAACCCTATCGCGAAGGGCTTGAAGTGAACATCCGTCGAAAGGGAGGGCACCACAAACAAGGACGTATAAAACTACGCCTAAACTCTGCAAGCAAAATAAAAGACACATTACGGAGGTATATTTTGAAAGCTTCAAAGCTCATTGTCAGCTTATTTAATCTTCTTTGTATAATGCAGCGGTTAAAATGAAAGCGGAAGGTTGGAAATTTATTTCACATTTAAACCTTATTTAATACCATGAAAAAGGTTACGTCAACTTATTCTGATGGCTATACATATACCATCATACATTATAATTGTGTGGTAAAGAGTCAAATGATAATTGAGAATTAAACGTAAATAAAAAGTTTATAATTATTATATACGTAATTAAAGGTTGAAATAGGTAGAATTTGGATGGATAAAGGAACTAGACAAGGATGTAAGATAAGTGCTCCGATAATTAATATATACTTAAGTGATTTAGAAGGAGCAATGGGAAGAGTAAAAGAAGGAGGAATTGTCATGGGCAGAAAAAAGATATCGACCATAATTTATGCAGACGATATAATATTATATAATATTATTAGTTACAAATTGTGAAATAATGAGGGGGGAAATGGCAAAGGTACGAGAAAGGTACCTAGAAAAAAAGGTTTAGAGCTGAATAGCGAGAAAGCAAAAATAATGGAATTTGAAGAGACAAGGCGTAGAAGAAAAAAAAGTTAGGGACATATTTTGAAACGGAAGAAAATTGGAAAAAGTCAAAAAATATAATTATTTAGGGTATATGTTGAGGGAAAATAATAAGGATGAGATACAAATAGAGAATTAATGTACAAAGGCAATGGGAATTTTAGGGAGAATTTGGGGGATAGGACGAAAGTTATGTAAAAAGAAGTGGGAAAGAAGGATGATGTTATTTAATTCAGTTATAAGAAGCATTATGTTTTATGGGGTTGAAATATGGCGGTGGAAAAAATTAGAAAAGATATATAAAATGGGTTTTATCTTTAGAAAGAAGCACACCAGAGTATACAATAAGGAGAGAAACGAAATGTGAAGAAGTGGTAGAAGAAGCGAGAAGAGTGATCAAATATGAGGAAAAGCTGAAAGAATTAAAAGATAAATGATATAAGGAAAGAGATATGGAGAAAAAAGATCTAAGAATAGGCATGAGAAACAGATATGACGAGGGAAGGGATTAGTCTATAGAGGAAATGAGAATCAGCAAGGAACAACTAATTGAATGGAAAAATAAAGGGTTGATTGTAAGTAACATGATAAAAAGTAGATGTAGAGAAATGAAAAGAGGAAAGGATCTAAGCAAAATTCAATGTTCAAAATATACAGAAGGGATGAGAGAATGTATGTGGGAAGATCAGCAAAATGACATAATACCTAACTACTTAATTAAGAATAAGGATATAGATTTAATAGCAAGGTTTAGAATGGGGAATGAATGTAATTGAAATAAATACTTCTATGCTAGCGAACGGTTAATTTAGAAATTCGAAAAAGGTTGTTAAAGGTATATGTTTGGAGCACGGCATTGTACGAGTGCGAAACATGGACAGTGAGCGTGGCGGAAAAGAAAAGGTTAGAAGCGTTCGAAATGTGGTGTTATAGGCGGATGATGAGGATATCGTGGGTAGAAAAGGTTAGAAATGAAGAGGTATTGGAAAGAATAGGAGAACAGAGGACTCTGTGGAAGTCAATAAAAAATAGGCGAGATAGGTTGGTAGGACACCGTCTCAGGAATGAAGGTCTAGTCAGAGACATATTACAGGCAGAAACAGGAGTTAAGAGGGGTACAGGTAGACCTAGATTAGACTACTCTTCGCAAATAGTTAAGGATGTGGGCTGTTCTAGTTTTAGGGAAATGCGAAGTTTAGCTCAGGATAGGAAAGAGTGGAGGTACGTGTCCAAACAGTCTTAGGACTGATGACCTTATAATGATGAAAAGAGGAGAGAAAATGTAGGATTTGTGGAATTGAAAACTTGAGGCACGTATTGGAAGAAGGTATGGATCATAAAACATTGAATAAGTGGAGTGAGATGATAAGTGTAAAGGGAGATGGAGTAGGTATTTTTAAAAAAATCTTGAAAAAAAGAAGAGAAAGAAAAGATAGTGAAAGGATATAATAGGAAAGAATAGTAGGGTGGGGGGTATAAACATAAAAAGTAAAAAGGAAATGTTTATAAATCAAACAATGTTCTTTGTTTGTATAATATTTTTGTCAAAAATTATTAGAATGTGAATGTGGTTTAGTTAATGTTAAGAAAAATTGTTTTTGTTATTTGTTATGAAAATGAAAGTAGAAAGAAATTTGTTGTTTATGTTTTTAATGTATGTAATGATAACTTTATATTAGTTAAAAAGGTACAAGCGGGATTTGCGTAAAAGATATTCTATTTTCCGAATACATCTGAAATATTAACATTTTCACACAAACACATCTTTTTCATGGATATTTTTGAGTGTTTGTTCTCTTATTCTTATTATACATTACCTAGAACCCCAAATATTCGAATCGCAATTATCCGAAATTTGTTTTATCCGCATGAGATCACGTAAAATAATTTCTCCGTTTTAATCGAAATAGTTCGAGAAATCCTCCACATTATCCGAAATATAAGCCAGTGGTTCCCCTTTCGCTGAGTGCGTTCTGTCGGTGATTCGCCAAGCCCGTTTTGGAGTCCTTATTATTTATGTAGTTAAGTCGAGTTAAGTAATAGGCCCAAGATGAAATGGCGTAGTAATAATCGCAAATACGTTGTTATTACAAGAGAAATTTGAGGCAATTAGGAGTTTAAATAGCGTTTAATTGTAGTACTTAAGCAATTTGGGCGTGGCGTTACTGTGTTTTGGTGTGTGGTTACCATTACAAAATGAAAAAAATAGCAAACAATGTCTGATATCACCAGAGCAGTCATGGAAAACTATAAAAAGGGGGTATCGATGTACCTTTTTTATCTGAAATTTTGATTAAACATACATACAATTTAGACATGTTTTCGAAGTGAGTTAGTTTAATATGGAATATTATTCTGGAAATTCATTTCTGAATTTTATACCCACTACACATTATCTCATTAATTTCAGGTAGCGTTTAGTGGGTATAAAATTCAAAAATGAATTTTCAGAATAATATTCCATATGAAATTTTGTTTATTCGAATTCACCTGGGCCCATATTATTTTAGATACCTAATTTAGATTCTAGTGTAAATAAAAATGGTTTAATATAGTTCAGATTATGGAATTGATAAATGATTATGTCTATATAACCCACAACATGGACGAATAATAAATTTCTTTCCAACCTTGCAACTGACTTAAAACCATCGTCATCAGAATATCTTTAGCCGAAAGATTGTTGGACAGTGCTTTCTACATTGGGCCAATTTTCGCATTTTTCAAAAACTATTTGCGAACATCTGCATCTCTTTCTTATGTTTCTAATTAGTCCTTCATATCAAAGGTGTCCTACAAATCTATCTCGCGTATTTTTTATTGACTTCCATAACATCCTCTGTTATCCTACTTTATTTATAATACCTCGTCATTTCTTACTTTTTCTATACATGACATTTTTAACATCCTCCTATAACACAATACATCAAACGTCTCCAACTCTAATTCAATCGCAAGATATGTACAGGTCTGACGAAGGAAGCTGGCGAGCGGTGGTGCAGGTACTTGCCCATTTATGACCTATTTGGGTAAGTCACTTGGAACCGATACACAAATAAGCTTTCAGTAGGCGTAAATTATAGTATTAATATAGGTAGGACAGTAGCGTACTAGAAAATAATGTAAAAACATGACTTATCAAAAAGAAAAAATTAACCTATTGCTTTTGTTTTATAGTTAGTTTTCACATTCACTCTTATCATGGTCACCAACATCAACAATTAGTTCTTCTGTTTGTCTGTCTATTATTTGCTCACTGATCCCTATTTTTAAATATTTAATCTACGCCCCTGATAGGAATACTGAAGAATGAGGGCTGCAATCTTTATACCTAAAACTGCCTACTTTTGCCACCGCGCATCCACGCCATTTTAAAATTTCCACCAGCTTCCAGCGTCAGGCCTGTAATATTATTATCCGAGACTCATAATAGTTTTTGTATGATACACGTATTGAAAAGGCCTCACGTACATACGATGGAAATAAAAATGCAAAAGTTGTAAAAAAGTAACTCACCCAAATATCTATTTCTGGTCCTATATATTTCTTTCCTTCGAACACTTCGGGGGCGGCGTATGGGGGCGAACCGCACCATGTCGACAAGTGTCCGTTGGCAGTGAAATAATTTGAAAAACCGAAGTCTGCTATTTTTATATTGTTATTTGTATCCAGTAATAAATTTTCAGCCTGCAACAATACAAAAAATTTAATTAGCGAGCAAGTATTTAAAATTTTATGCGATACCCTTATAAACTAATATAAAAAAAGTAAAAATCTCAGAAACTACAGAACCGATTATAAAATTTGTTTCCACTGTTCGATAGGACAGAGCACGTCAATTACAACCAAATAAATAACAAGGAAATAGCAACATGAAAGTAATAATCTAATAATTAGTAATCATTTGTAGAAGGGTAGTAACTCAGTTATAACACGACTGACCATTCGAGAGCCGCGTTTAATAAGTGGGAGCGTTCCATACTAAATGATTTACACTCCATACGCGAAACCGTGTGTGACAATTATTGCAGATTGTTTTCCCTTTAAATATGTTTGAAATCTTACCCCTTTTCCACAAAAACTCACAGATGCCAGTGTCGTATGCATATAATAAAGCCTACGAAATACATTTCCGCTAATGATTAGAAACCTCTTAATGACTGTAGTAAAAAAATATATTGGACAAACTATACGCTCAATCAAAACTAGAGCATTTAGCTCATGCACGGTTTGGTCTCTATCAAAAAATCTAATGTTGCCCAACATATTCTTACTGAACAACATAATATTAATATTAATAATCTTAAATTAGTTAAGGAAGTTAGGAATAATTGTTTACTAGATAGTTTTGATAGTTTATACATTTATAAAAATAAATAAATTTTACTTAACAATGACAACGGTCCTATTTAATCTAGTTTAATTACTTCTGTTATGGTTATCAAGGTTCATTGAGCATCAACCTTGTTGTCACTGAGCCATGTTCACTGAATCTTAATAACTATTAGTATAAATTAGTTCCCTTTTAGGTTTAGTTCACTTCAGTCCCAAAAGAGGTAACCTTATTACCGAAAAGTGCTTCGGATAACTAAAGAGTCGTGTTTTGGCGTTGGGGTTTGAGCTATTTTGTTTGTGCTACAACAACCGCCAAAGTGCTAAAGAAAAAAAAAGAAATAAAATGCACTAGTAGACATTGAATTAAAGCTTTGATATACTTTTTAAACAGAATTATGTTTAATTGATTCGGTTGACACTTGATAAAAAATGAGATAATAAAAACCAAACGTTGGTAATCATCACTTTATTAGTGCATATTTCTATCAATTACAGCTGTTTCGGTACATTCAATCCCTTCAGACTAATTTAATTCAAACTTTGAAATGAGGTACCAAAACAGGTGCAACATAGATATAGAAATACTAATAAAATAGTGAAGATTCCGAGTGTTTTTATTAAGTACAATATATTTAACAAAAATTGCCTTTCAATTTTATTTTTAATATTTTAATTCAATATTTTTTAAATTATACCTACAGATTATCTTGTTTTAAAATTTACAAGTATTTACACGTATATTATTTTTATAATGTGTTAATAGACCACATCAAAGGCTTAAGTATAAGAATTATTAATATCTGGATTCCAATACTATGTGGAATCTGTGTTAATGAGAATGAGTGCAAGGAAAGGCAAGCCTAAAATTATATTTCTATGTATTTTGCCAAAATTTAAAAACAAAATCTGTGTGAATGCCATTCTGCCAATGACGTTCTCGACTTGCTTTCTGTTTTTAAATATACAAGGACCATTGGAAGGATAATCTGCACATTAGATAGAAATAGTATGAGAAAAGAGAAAATGATCGAAAGCGTTTTCGTTTTCTTCTAATAAAATTTAACGATATTGTGATGAGCAATATTTGTTTTAAATACTTTATTTGAAGTTAGATTACTACAGCACATAAATAGGCTGAATCAAGGTGGGAAAAAAACCAAAAATATTCCTTCCCCCTGTACCCACCCCTCAATTACTCAATTAATCTATATTTCATGTCTGTATATGGTCTAAAGAATTTCATGTCAAACAATCGAGCATCATGATACGTTTTACTCTGAATTCTCTAAATTCGAAGTAGCTGGAAGAGATATAATATTTGATTTAGAAACAAAGAAAGATATCAGGCAAACAACAGATTTCTTAGTATCAAGAATAAATTACTTCTGAGGAACTCATTATTTGCACGAAAAAGTATTTCGGTGCTGAAAGCACAATAAATTGTACGACATAATAATAAACCCACGTTAAATCTTTAAGTTAAACATCGACGAGTATAAGTTGGTAGCTTTTTGTTTCGTCAGTATTGTAAATTATTATGCTAAACTGGTTTTTGCAAATAATGTTGAGAGGTAAAGGCTTATTCAATTGTTACTTAGATTCTAAGTAAAACCCTTAATTAATGAATTTACGTTTTGAAATAAAACGTGAAGGAAAAATATATCTATTTATATCAATTTCTAGAAAGATTAGTCGCTTTTAATAAACAAAAATCACTTCTATATAACCGTGATTTGTTAATTTAGAAATTCGGCAATATTGTTAAAAGTACGTATTCAGTTAAAACAGCTCCTGTACGCGGTTTAGGAACACGGACAACAGGCGCGGCGAAAAATAAAAAGTTAGAAGCGTTTGATAAATTGGTAAAAGCTTTCACGGCCAGTTGATGAACTGGTGTTGTCCTGATTCGGGTTTAAAGGAGTTGCATCCTAACGTTTCGCTAGCACGAGTGGCGACCTTCTTTAGATGTCCTTCCAAGAGAGGGAGATGTCTCCAAAAATGTCTATATAGGAACCAAAACCAATAAACCGATGGGAACGAAACTTAAGGAGCACAAAGCAAACTGCTGGCTAGAACACCGAAAAGTCTCATGTGTCTGAACACGCACTGAGCAACGGCGACTATGAAATATTCTTTGAAAACTGCGAATTGTTAACATCACAGCAGGATGGTCAAAGAAGCCATTAAGCTCCAAAAGCATCCGGAGAACTTCAACAAGAAGACGGAGACCCTGAGACTCAACCGGATCTGTAACCAGATCCTCAGGAACAACCTCCGTTCCCTACCCATCGGCGTAAATACAACTTGCGCAGAAGAAGTTGTCAATCTACATACAACATCAGAGATGGTAGGATCTCTGAAGAAACTACTTCTATCGAAACATTAGGAAACAAGTCCAACCTACGATGACCAGGATACCACCAGTTAGAAGCATTTGATATGTGGTGCAATAGTAGAATGATAGTACCGTGAATAGAAGAAGAAAGTCCCTTGAACATTCCTACTAGGGGTATACCGTCTCCATTGCCCGGGACCGGTTTAATAAGAACAAAACGGGGTATATCTGAAATGTTCTTTCACCGGAAACTATCAATATCGGGACGTTGAAGTTGAAAGTTGCACCAATCAAAGATAAAATCATAGATACGGCCATGTCAAAAGAAGAATTGGAGATCATGTGGTTACTGTGTTAAAACTATCGGAACAGAAGACAGGCAGCGACTGTCTACCATCGACCTAATGTCAGAAGATAGAAATAGATTTCCAGAAAGCCCAACTACCTGAACTGGCAACCCAAAAACGTCTGACTTGGCACAGGTAAGTAAGAAGAGCCTACCCAAAATAACGAGATTAGGAAAAGAAGAATAACAAGAGAACAAAGGACAGTTGGAAGTCCATATAAGGAAAATGAGAGACAGGATGGTAGGACACCTGAGACATGAAGGGTTGGATAAAGACATATTAAAAGCAAAAATAGGAATAAGAGGAGCACAGGGCGATCCAGGGTAGAATTCTTTCCGAAAATAGGAGTGTGTGTGAAACGTTCTAGTCTTAAAAAGAATGAATATGCGAAGATTGACTCACGATTAGCAGTTGAGGTGGTTGTCCAATAAGTCAATTGACTGACTGACAATTTTATGATGATGAATTTTGTTATGAAATTAGGCAATGCCAACGTAACCGATGAAAAAACGTAACACTTTGTTAAAGAGTTGAAAAGTAAGCACCATAAATGTTTTTATGAATTGAAAAGTGAACTAACAGTAACAGTACATTTTATTGTCAGTAGCATTCTGGGGAGGATTGAAGAGTGTGTGAAAAACTCTTCTCACAATGTCAATATTCTTAAACTTAAGATTGTAATCTGCAAATTCAGGCATACAAACCTTCATAAATAGGCCCTAAAACATACTTCATGTGCAGTTTGCCGCTCTAAACAACGATGGTGTATTGTAAAACATTCAGTAAATAATTAAACACCATCTATAGAGATTTGCTACTTATTCTGAGATTCGATAATATTTAAGAAGATCCTTTTCAGTGAAGGATAAGAACCCATGGCGCAACTGTATACGCAACGACATGTAATCTGAACAGGGAAACGTTTTTCGATGTAGACAACTGCGCTGTGGGTTCAGTTTTACGAGTCGATATCCTTCAACTGAAAACGACCTTCCCAAACATTATCTATTAAATCCAACAATTATTAGTGGCAAATTTTTTACAAATGTAATATGCTATTGAATGTTATCGGGACTCTATATGGCGTGCTGATGAAGACAAACGAATTCGAAATCACTAACCATATCTGATCGTTTCCGGATCACTTGATCAAGAACTGTCTACTGTAAAGTAACTAACCATATTTGAAAATAGTGGGTTTTGCATTTTGCTTGCAATGCAGCCAAATATTTGCAATCGACTTTAAGGAATGGAGGTTCTTAATATGTATTTTAATAATTCTTTGTCGGATAGGTTATATCTGAAGTGTGGTGGAAAATTGTTGGAAAATAAAGCAGAGTGTACAGTTCTATCTGAATTTGTTAACTTTTTAGTTTATCGACAACAGTGTATAGCAGTTGGATTTTATACGTAAATAAATTACTACAGCACACAACAAAAGTTTAAATCTAGTCTGACAATACCGATGGCGAAACAGTTGTCAAAAATACAATTAACATAATTCATAAAATGGAAAATATAAACAATAAAATATTTAAATTATCTTTGATCGTATTATTTATACGAGTGAAAATTCGTTAATGTAAATATAACTTAACAACTACCTAGAAATCTTTAATTTCAAAGCAGATGCTTAGATTTAACTTAAATCGTTAAAAAAAGAACGAAAA